CAAAAAAGTACTCCAGAGTGTTGTTCAGCATGGGGGTGAGTAGAAAATGAAGGCTAATCATGTTTTGGGTGTACTATTCCTTTAAGCATTATTTATTTTGATCAGTTGGAAAAAATAGTTTTAACACACTTTTAAGTGAGAAAGCTTGCCTCAAATCATAATCTCTGCTCTCAGTTCATCAGGATTTGGACTAAAACATTCTGTTCTTATTGTTGTTGCTGTCGTTATTGTGGCTGAAAATTAATATAACGCGTTCTTTTTAGGTTTGTGGTAAAAACTGCAATTACCAGAATATAAAATAGAATATTTTTCACCACAATGTTTAAGCTTTTTTGTTATTTTAGGTATTTATAAACTGTTTTGCAATAGTTCTTTTAAGAAAATGTTTTAGTGGATTAATAATAATCAGAGCTGTTCTCTTTTCTTTATACATAACAATCCGCTCTCCTGTTTTTTTTTTTACATTTATATGTATTCATTTTTCATATGCTAACAGCTCTGCAGTAGTGATCATGACTTGCATGTAACGTCTTCCTCACAGAAAACCCTTGGATTAACTTTGCTGATTGGTTGAAGCTCCGCTTTAAGCAGCAAAAGTTCTAATTTCTGAACTCCAGTAACAAACGCTCATACGCCCCAACGCTGGGATGCCAGGAAGAACCGTTGCTGGTTTACTTTACATGTAAATCAGATGCTTTAACCATGAAACTTGGAGATATGGACCAAAACAATAACTTCATAAGTTAAATATATCTTGCGATAAAGGATATTTATCTAAAGAGAAAAATATTTTTTTGTTTTTATCAAGTAATTACAAAAAAGGTGCTGCTACATGTGTGGATTTGTTAATTTTGATACTCCTCTACCTCCATAGTTTTAGAGGAAAGTAAAATTGGCAATCATCACCATACAAATAAAATATTATGCAATCTTCCTAAACATAATACCAAATATCCAAATATGTTTTATCAGTCCAAACTGACAACCATTTCCTAGGAATGATAAAGATGTTTTTTGGTACATTTCAAACAAAAACTTGCTTTCTGTTCCAAAACCGGACCATCATTCTGTGAGGGGTTTTGGTCTTGAAACTCTTCCATGGAGGCAATTTTTGCCCAGTGGGAAATGGTGTTGTCTTTAGATCAGAATTGAATAATTTTTGAAAAGGTAAAGGATTGTTTTTTTTTTTTTCTAAGAAGGCCAAGTGACAGATGTTTTGTTTGACTAATCAAATCATTGGTATGTAGAGCAAAATAAATGATAAGGTTTTCATGTCCTATTTCCTTTAGAGATGATGCTTATTCTCCTGCCTTCCATTTTAAGTCCTCCATAGTTAAAGCTGACATGACTGAAGGTTTTCATTTACCACATATAGGACTATCTTGGCTTCATTTTCTCTAAGTCAAACCAAAACTAAAGGAAGTAAGGAATATAAGGAACCAGTTGTCACATTTGCTTTACTCAGGTTTTCACTTTAGTTTACAAAAATCAGCCTCTCACATTTCCCTTTATCTCGGGTTTGGTTCCATGTAATGAGATTTTCCTGGTTTCTGGGACATGCAGGAAATTGTTTCCATGGGGAGGAGATCGCTGGTTTGCTTGCTTGATTCAGGATTAGCAGCTAAGAGTAAAATACTTGTGTGGAATTGAGGTGAAAAGTTTAAATTCTTCTGAGGCCACAGGCAGTACCTCCCATTGAGCCAGTTTTAGCCATCCAGGTCACGATGCTGTTTATGCCCCAGACCTGAACCCTGGATGAACTTGAAGTTAGTGAAAACAAGACAAACATTTTATCACCAAAAACTAGAGAGGCTTTTGGGAGACCTCAGGGAGCTCTGAAAAAAAAAAAAAAAAAAAAAAAAGCCTCAGTTAATATAAGGATGAGACCCACTGGTATTATTTGTAATCCTTTTAATATGTGTTAAAACTCAACACAAAAAGCTGTTTAGATTTGAAATTAAATATTAGATTGTAAATTATTCAAATAGTAATTAAGTAATACATAAAGTAATAGTAATGGTCATATTGTTTGTGTAGGTACAGTATGTAATAAAAGGATAAAATCATGGTACAATAGACAGAAAGACACATTTAGGCTTTATTAAAATGATATAGAAGGCTATTAGAAATGTATCACACATTTTACAATTTTAACTAATTTATACAGAATTGAATGAAAAAAAAACACCAGAATTTTATCTGAATTAATATTGATATTTAATTCTAATTGTCTCTGTCTTTTTACCCAGAGTGCGATTGGAGCTGCAACGCCTGCAAAGGCCCACTAAGAAGCGACTGCCTCCAGTGCATGGAGGGATACGTGCTGCAGGATGGATTGTGCACTCAGGGGTGCTCCCGCGGATTTTACCAGGATGGAGACAGATGCCTCGGTTAGTCCAGACCTAAAGCAAATAAGATCTTCCCTGCAGTGCAGTTGCTGCAACCGAAGCCGAACCTCGTGTTTCATCTTGTTGTTACCACCAGAGGTTGATCTCAGTAACGTTTTCATAATCCACTGATGATTAAAGCAGTAAATCAACAGCTTTGCAGCCAAAAGGAGGAGACTGAACAAGCACCGGAAATTACAATGAGCATGCATCTAAAATCTAACCCCAAGGTTTCCAGACTGGCATTATATTCCTATTACTCTGACACCTGGAAAGTTAGAGCTTCTTAATTCATTTGCTTGCAAATAGGATCATTCTTCTCTGACATTTAAAAATTAAAATGAGGCCTTTCTTTCTTTATTGCTTAGGAGAAATAAACCACAATGTAAGAAAATAAGGCTTAGATTTTTTACAAGAAATTAAGCCCTTAACTTAAATTCAAGTTCATGTGCCAAATCTGATGTTCTTCTTGGATGCAACCTCTAAGACTTGTTTACTTATTCACATCATCAAAACTGGCCCTCCAGGCTGTAGCACAAACACTATCAATATTACAGTCATTAGTTTCATTCCCTATATTTCATAGCGGTTTATGCAAACACTATTTTAAACCACCAGTATGAATGAACTTTGACCAGTTATGATCAATTCTCAGATCTGTAAATCTTTGATAGCAAAAAAAATCATAACAATGTACAGATGATTGAAACAAACTTAACTTTAAGGTTTAAAACAGAAAGCTGCTCCCTTGTCCTTTGTAATACTGCACACGCTTTGTCTTCACATGGAGTCTTTATGCATTTAAATTCTAAACATGGTCTTTATGTAAATAGGCACACACCTTTGAACAAATTACTCTCGTCTTAAAATTACGATAGTGTTAGACGTTCTAAACAACTTTTATGTTAATCAGCCTTTAAAATGTTTTGTTAAATCTCTTCTATTTTGAAGGTTTATTTAGATCATACAATGAAACTTGATCAAAAGATAAAACTGGGAAATGTAGAATATATGACGAATTAAAGATATGAAATGAATCAATTTGAAATGGTGATAAAATTAGCAAATAACAGATTGGCCTTGTTACCACATGTTCATCATTACGTCAGGTTCATAACATGGTCATCATTACGTCATGTTCGTCATCACCTCCAGTTTACATGGATCTAATGATCCCATTTGCCTTTAGACCAATTAATTAAACCTGTAGTTCTTAACTTTGCAAATGAGGAAAGATAGAGAGAACATTTTGTTTCAATATAAACTACTTTGACTTACTTCCTGATACCCCTCCCATAATGAAGGATCTCCATGCCTCCTATTGCAGGCCAAGAAGTGCCATGTTGGTTTGTAGTTTCTTGACCCACATGCAGAGAACCCAATAATCTTGAATAGGAAAACTGCAGGAAGTCAGTTGAACTGTCTGGTTAGTCTGAGAAGAGGACTGGACACGACTGGCTTGATCAAAGAGACGAGAAAAACAGAAGCGCAGAGTGACTGAGCAATGCCTGGGTTTCAAGTGATGAATCTGGAAGAGAGTTTGCGATTAAAAACTTTTAGGTATGGGATTGGCAATTCCAGTTCCTGAGGGCCAGTATCCTGCAACTTTAAGATGTGCCATTGGTTCAACACACCCGAATAAAGTAATTAGATGATTGAGAGGACTGTGGCGGACAATGAAGGAGGGATGAGGTGGCAGGCTTTGGAGAAGTGGTCATAGTGAGGATAGTGGTGAAACCCTTTGATCGTAGTAGTCCAATAATGAAATCTATCCATGGATGTGTAGGGATAGGCAGTGGTTGAAAATAAACACTGGGGGGCTTGGGACTAGCTTTGTAGTGGGCACACACTGGATAGACTAGAACAAGGCCACCAGAATTCATTTTTAAAGTGGGTGAGAGTTCGATTGAGTCCAGGATGGCAGAATCATAAAACCCAGTATGGAGGTTCAGTGCCAGGGTGGGTCTACTGGTCACCCCTTAGTATTGCCTAGACACAGCATCACGTTTTTTTTTTTTCGCTTTTTTTTTTTTTTTTTCGCCTGGACAGTAAAATATGACGACCACAAAATGGGGAAAGAACAGAGCCCACTGTGATCCTCTACGTTTCAGACATTTTGCTTCTTGGAGACAGGACAGATTCTTGTGATCAGTCCACACAATAACAGGATGTTCAGCTCCCTTCAACCAGTGGCGCCACTCTTCAAATGCCATTTTTCCGGCTAATAGCTCTCTATCACCCACATCGTAGTTTTGTTCTGCTTGAGACAAACAGCAAGAAAAGAAGACACATGTATGAAGTTTATTATCATCATCACTGCATTGAAAGGACTGCATCCACCCCTAAATCAGAGACATCATCTTCAAGGACAAACGGTTTTTCCTCTGGCTCAGTCAGAGTTGGGGCATTGGCAAACCCTTTCTTAAGCTCAGAAAAAGCCCATTTCGGCTTCAGTGAAAAAAAATGTAGTTTACCAGATTGTATTGTTTATCTAAAATCCAGTTAATCTTAGAGGTAACAGATTCTACCTGTAAAGAACATAATTGGCAATAAATACTGTACTACTTATGTAAATACTGTATGAAAGGTCCAAAGACATAAGCTAAGTTACAGCGAGATGTTTTCTCTTTTTGTATGTCTGTGTGTTTCAGGCTGCGACGATCACTGTATGAAGTGTGACAGGCCTGGAAACTGCCTGGAATGCCAGCCTCCCTACGCCACTCTGCAGGGACAATGTGTCCTCGAATGTGGCAGAAATTATTTCCTGGACTCCTCCTCTAAAGTCTGCAAGTGTAAGAATTACCACTTCTATACATTTAAAAAATTCAACTTAGCTTTGTTTTATTTCATTTATTAATCTTTTATCTATTATAAGTTAAAATTAAATTTATGTTAAAACATTTGAATTGAATATTAAAGGTTTGTTGTTTTTTAGTAGGTAATGCATAGAATGGAAAGAAATATTGCTTAGCCTTGACCTCTGTTGTTTTTCTACAGCTTGCTCATCGGATTGCGTCCAGTGTGACGGGGTGGGACGCTGCTTAATGTGTCGTGATCAGACATTCCTTATGGAAGGATACTGCACCCCCGACTGTGGACATGGATACTATGCTGATCAGAAGACGAGAGCCTGCCACGGTAATGGCATAATGCCTCTATAAAATCATGTGAAGGAGAGGTTTGTAATTTAAAAAAGAATCAAAGCAATTTGCTACATTCAAAAATAAATGTGCAGGGAAATTCCTATAAGATCAGAAATCTGCTTATTCAGCCCTCCTCTAAACAAGCTGTTATTTTGGCTTTCCATGTCCCTGTCCTTCCGAAGGCTGCAACCCCACACCCTATAACTATGACAACCAGTCAAAGTTCGTAAAGATAGCCTAGGAGCATGAAAAATTAGATTAGATGAAGGCCGTAGCTTGACTAATGGGCTGCTACAGACTGCTCAGGGCAGCTTAATTCCACTTATGACATCATAAAGGGAATGCTTTTGAAACAGCATTTTGAGCACAAATTAGCTCAGAGGTGGAGAAAAGCAATGCAGGTGAAAGGATTTTTTCATTGTTGAACCTTATACGAAGCCTCTAGGCCACATGTGACTGTTAATGCTTAGTGCGTGGAGTCTACGCCCTCTACAGACCTTGCGACCGCTGTTCCTGAGCTAACTCCTCCCGCAAATTCTCATTTTCATTTTGCCAATTTCCCACACCCAAGCCTTATATCTCATCTTCCAGAACATTCACAAACTTCTGCAAGCCAGATCTAGAGGAACGGATGCAAACTGGTTCTACCCACCTGATGAAAGATAATGTCTGATGAAAACTGGACTTTGTATTGTAGTTAAAGTGGTCACTGCATTTCAGATTTACCCTGCTCTCAATTTAGCTGAACAATTACTTCTTCCTGTTGTACGTCTACCCGAACCATTTCATGTCTTGTCTCTAGATAAATTTCTCTGCATATAATCATGCACTGAATTGAACCAGAAAAAAATTCTAATGTCAGGCAATCATATTGAAGAAATATTTTTTATCCTGTTCTCTTCACCCCAATCTCCCAATGTTTTGGGATACTTTTGGCTCACTCTTTATAATCTTCACCTGAACTGGAAAGATGCTCTAATGCCCTTTCTAGGCAATACTGCAATGACCAGGAATCTGATATCTCAATTGTCATTCAACCTTCCTGCATTGTGGGCGCCTTTTTGTCCTTAAAGGAAATAAAGGACCAGGTCCCAGAGGCTGAAGGAGAACATGACCTCCCTATGAGGTTTATGTTCCTGCTTCCATTAGGTCCTGCCTCATTCACGGGCCCACACAGCAAAATTCTACTGCCATCTTGGAATCTACCGAAATCTCACACTCAAACTAAGTTTTATGGTGGCCTTTAATATACAAGGATGTTAAAAGCCAAGTTCTAGCCAATCCAGTGTGTGCCTCCAACCAAGCTACTCACTGGCCCCCCTTTGGTCTCCCTCAACCATTGCCAATCCCTAAATATCCGAGGTTGGATATGCAAAGCCGGATTAACCAAACCCAAACAGATCCATTTTACTTTCTCTTCATCCCTCAAATAAGCAAATCACTAGATCATCAGTTGTTATCAACCATTTCCATCCTGATCATTCTGTTTTCTCCCCTCAGTCCAACCAGAAAGTTCAACTGAATCCCTCCACTTCTCCACTTCCAGATTCCTGTCTTTTTGTAAATAGAAATGTTAAATCAAAAAACTAGTAGCCAAAATGACACTTTCACTGTCTTACATAATTTTATCACTCGTTGGAAGTAATATCAAGCAAATAAAACTAAGGGATTGGCTCATAAATGATGCAGATGATCCAGGGATGTCAATGAAGTATCACATGGCGTGTTGCTTGGCAACAGTAACATTATACTGAGCTTCTAAGGGTAAAACTAATAGCTTAATGCTGCTGGATTAAATCTGAAGAACACTGTTTTTAAATGTAATGCTCACCCCAAAGCAGCATATTTAAATTTGAGGTTTTCTGATAACGCTCTTTATTTAAAAGTTTCTAGCAACTGAGACTACAGCTAATCAGAGCAGACATAATGTATAGGTTTTTGTTATTTGGGAGGTGTGTGCTTTTAGCTGTTGAGCTAATGAGTTCTGCTTAAAGGTCAGTTAGAGTTAAGCTAACAACCACCCGTAGTGTCACATAATAAATATAGTGCATACATAATACCATAAATGGAAAGTTAGTTGCTGTAGTTGTTTTCGTCAAATGAGCTGTGTTTTTGTTGGAAAACTACTTAAATCCCTCAAATATCCTTGTGCTAATCAGTTAAAAGAGTTTCAAATAATAAAAGTCCTCTATAATGTTGTTTGAGCTTTTCAAATGAAGGTATATGTACATAGGTGGGCAGAACAAAGTCCAAAACGTCTTGCATGCAAAAACACATTTTCACCACTCTGATATTTTTATAGTTAAACAATGGCTGCTGTCACTGTGCAGATTAGATCTTTTGAAGAAGAAATTATCAGAAAATGTTTGCATTGTGATCAAAGTAGGTGGAGGAGTTCAATAGTTAAATAAAACATCTGTAATTGTAAATTGTAAAATGATTTATACAATTTTAGGGGGTTAATGAGACAAGTCAGTCAGGAAACCTATAATTTGTGATATATTTAATTAAATAATGATTTTGTGTTTGTTTAACATGAAATTATAGAACAAATCAAATGTGGTAGGGTACAGCTTGCAATAACACTGAAAAGTAAAGCCTATTGTATTGGAAAACTAAGGTCAGTGAAGGGTGAGACGATATGAAATATTTCTTCTCACTAGTGTTCCTTGTAGAGTAATGTGTTTGGATTAAGTCCCAGGCATCAGTTGCCAATTGCAGGAATTTCTTGCCTTTGTGCTTCTGAAATGTCGGTTCAGATGACTGAGTTGTATTAGCCTCATTATCAATATGGGCAAAATAATTAATCATATGACCCAGTTTATGAAAAGAAATGTTGCTAATGTGGTTCTCAACTAATGCTGTTACTCCCAACACTGATCATGTAAGCGTCCAACAGACGGTACATGACTTTGAATTCTATTAGTATAACATTTCTGTAACAAAGGGAGGATGACTGAGTTGCTTCTCTGCTTATATGTACAAAACGTGCTCAGTTTGTGTTTACATAAACACAACACGTCCTTTTTCCATTAAGCTCAGCTCAAATATTGTGCATTATATATTGCAGTTGGATCAACCTAATCGTTTCACATTATTGTGAATTTTTATGTCAGAATTGATGATATTTTGTAGAACTTTATTATAAAAGCAGTGGAATTGCAGATTCACGCATCTGTCAATGTAGACAGCTTATATTAACTGTGTGACATATAGATTTAATTTGTCCTTGTGAGTCACTAAGAATAAAGCTTTGAGTGCACACTTCAGTCACTTATGGGGCCTTACACTTATTTTCTCATTTATCTTTAAATGGATCTCGTGAACCTACAAGCAGCGGTGCCGCAGGCCACCAGGGGAAAGGCTAGGGCTGTAAAACGATTCATGAAATAAATGTGTTAAAGTGTAATCCTAGCAGAAAAAAATATTATTGTGTTTCCTTTGAGATAAATGCTCCTTTCTTCTGAAATAATGAACAGTTTTGGCCTGGAGGCATGAGCTAATTCATGTCTCAAAAAAGAGAAGGAAAGAAAAGGCAGTGAGATTATTTTTGACACACACACAAAAAACTTTTTCTCTAAATTAAAAAGTTTTTCCCATTTGTAAAAATAATTAAATGTCTGAAAGATTGAAATTTAAGAGTGGCTGTTGGCATCATTAGAGAAGATCTAATGAGATTACATCGAAGCATCTGAAGAAGGGGCTGATCTTTAAAAGTTCACGTGTAAAGTTCAGCCAGCTCCAATTAGAGAATGTTTCTAAAATGCCACACCAGCTCCTAGTTGTTTCACACCGATTTTTTTTCCCCCTCTCAATTCATTCCCACCCCTATTTTCAGTGCGCAGCATTTTCTCACCCCTAACACCCACTCATACCCAGTTGCAATTTTCCTTATTAATTTTAACCGTTGAAAAGTTGTTTAAAAAGATACTAATTACAGTAATTACAAGCTTTGTGTTTTGTTGTTTCTTTTTATTGAAGATTATTGAAATTATTTAAATAGATGCATTCCATTATTTAGACACCAATGGTTATGCTTTCATTATGAATGCTCAGAAGTTTTTGATATAATATAATATCTTTTTTATTTCCTGACCAATGGTATGTAGGTGGTCTGTACCCACTCATCCTAACATTTTTTTCTTTAGATAGTGGTATGCAGATTTAGTAATAGACTTTTTGTGATTGCAAAGGTTTAGGTCTAAAGGATTAAGGTTTCAAATCATTAGAGGGTTGCTTTTTAGCTCTGCATTTTCGGTATAAAATATCCATTTTTTTTCTGATCCAATCCGCTGCCGAAACCTGAGCTGAGCATGTCTGCCAACATCCGATACCGATCCGATTCAACTGTTGAATGAATGAATAAATCGATGAATCACATTTTTTGCCATGTTAGTGAAGGCTTTAACCTCGACATAAACAGAGAGTAGCAAATCATGATACATTATATAAATCTAATCTGTTTACTGCACTTTATACTTATTTTATTTTACTTGTACTTTAACCAGTACTGTTTGTTTATACATTTTTATATTGCATTTCTATTGTAATACGTCTAGATGTTACTTTACTTTTTACCTCATTGTGTTGTGACTATCACTATGAGTAAAGCTGCTGCTACACAGCAATTTCCCAACTTGTGATTGAGTCTGTCTGTCTGTCTGTCTGTCTGTCTGTCTGTCTGTCTGTCTGTCTGTCTGTCTGTGTATTATTAAATAATTAGAAAAAAAGAAAGAAAGAAAATTTCTATGTAAAGTTCACTGGATTAGATCTCCAATAACAGATATCAAATCACCGATATCTGTTTCAACTAATGAGGCTATAGTGGAGCTGATGTGCAATCCAGGTATCAGATTTGTCCTCTCAAAATACAAAAAAGTATTTTTGTTGACTCATTCACTGACTTACTGACTGTGTTGAATTGAAGTCACGAATTAAAATAGTGAGGTTGAGTTGGACTGTGGGATGTGTTAATACTTCATCATCTGAGCTCATCTAGCTAATGGGAGTGGCAGCCTAGTGGTTAGGGCATAGAGCTTTGAATCCTAAGGTTGTGAGATCGATCCCCCACAGACTGCCACTCTGGGTCCCTGAGCAAGACCCTTAACCCCACACTGCTCCCTGGGTGCCTCACAATGGCAGCTCACTGCTCCTCAAGGGGATGGGTTAAATGCAGAGAAGTAATTTCCCTCTGGGATTATTAGAGTATATAAAATACAAATAGGCCTAATATGTAGATATTTTTTTTCACAGTGAACCACCACACCCCTGTGCTCCACATCAACGGCTCCCTGCTGGTTCCCATCGGCGGCTCTGCTCCTCTGCTGCCCTCTCTGCTGGAGGTGAGGGATCCAGACAGTCCCTCTGAGAGGATGGTCTTTCAGATTGTTCAGACACCGAAAAATGGACAGTTGGTCCTTTTAATGGAGGAGGAAGCAGGAGAAAACGGAGGAAAAACGAGGCGAGATCTGAACAGAGAAGATACCTTCACATGGGTACAGTTAAAGCTTGGCCGAGTTCACTTCAAGCACCTGAAAAACAAAGCCAGGTAAGGAGTTTTGCAGATTTTAAATATTCAATCTGCCATATTATAAACAAGAAGGGACCTAGCACAAGGAGTAGTTCTGCAAGCAAGCAAAAACACATTATTTCATACTTGTTGGTGATGACCTGAGATACCTTTAAATTGCTGCTGTGCTCATAAAAAAGATTTTTAGGCTCTATTTACATCTCCGACCTTTAGTCCACTTTAAGCAGAGCTGAGTTTGTTTATTCCTTTGGACAGGAAATTCTGTGCAGGTGTAAATAAACTTAAGCAGACCTTGAACTAGACCAAATAGTTGTACTTGATCCACTTTCAAAGAGACTTGGATGCGTTACGCTTCTGAAACATCCTTGATCTGACGGTGAAATACATTTGCCTTTTTGGACTGAATTAAATGTGAATGTAGCACTAAATCATACCTGAGCCTACATCCGTTGCTCACAAATGCTGCTTGAAATTGCTGTGGGTTCTTCCTCATCATGCCTGTTTGGATCCAGCATCAAAATTAACCAAAAATAACTTGAGCTCTTAATTTGCATAGCTATGGAGTTATTTTTGTGTTTTTATTAAGTTGAAGTAAAAAAAAATATCTGAAAGGGGAAAATAGTTTTGAAAAAAATGAAAAGCAAAAACTGATGTTATTTGAGACTGAAGAAAAGGTTTTGAGAGAAAAGATTTTGTTTTAGAATGAATAAAAGATAAATTGACATTTTGAACATGGTTTCTAAGGTAGAAAAAAACTAACTCTAGAAATATATTTTTACTCTCAAATATTGGTCCCTTTTTTGCAATCAGAGGGAGAATATTTCCTCTTAAAAATAGATTTCTCTCTTACAACCTAAGTCTTTGCTCTCACTTCAGGATTTTTCTCTCGATGTGAACCAAATTGATGGCTTACTGGTGATATTAGGTGTGCACAGGGCAGAAAACAGTTTAATAATCTGTTTCCACTTTATACAGCCAAGCCAAATGAGTCAGACATATTTTGCTCTAATATCATTTTAAATAATAATCTAAACCAGCATTGCTCATTTTCATGCTTCCGCTCTCTTTATACCTTCCTGCCAACTCAGCTAATACACCCCTGTCTTCAGGTCACCAGGTTTCAGTGACTGAGGTTCTTTTTGAAGTATTTTATTAAAATGTTTGTAATTATTTACTTATTTCAGTTCATTTAATAATAATATGGAGTTTTTAATTGAATTCCTACTGGAATCAAATGCATAATATTAGAAAAAGTAATAAGTGCATTAATGCCTTCATCATTTTTTTTGTGTGATAACTTAATCAGCACCTATAAATCATAAATTTTGTTGCTTAGACTTACAGGGTAAATTTCCTTTAAAATTCTGCTCTAAATCCAAAAGCTCTTCCCATCCAACAAACTTCAAAGCCTTCAGGCCACTACGGAGGCTTCTTGAACCTTGTAAACTCATTTAGAAAACTATTTGATAAATGCAAGATCTGTGAATTATTATTTCCTGATTGACTACGATACTATATGAAGTAGTTTGTGGAAATATTAAGCCTTACCTCCAGCTCTGAGGGGGGAAAAGCCCATTTAAAGCGAAGAACTGAAGCTAATTGGTTTAAAAGCTCTTGGGTTAGGGATATAATCTAGATCCATCTACATTAAATTACCTTTCATTCTCTGTTACGTTGCCCTGTATTTAAACATGTGTCTTTCTTTTACTGCTCTGATTTGGCCAACCCAAAATAGCAGAGATGGTGGCCTGGGATTATATGACAATAACTGTCCACGTTCGTCCCAGCTACATGCTAAGTAGCACTCTGTGTGTACAACACAACAATAAAAGTTGTCTAAGTCTATGCGTCATAGCATAAAACCTGACAACTCTCATCTCTCATCCTTTGAGGAACTGTTGCTATGAACTTTGTGATTAACTTCACCTTCTCAGAATTAAAGGAAGCTTTGAAAAAGTGAGATTTCTGATTTATGACAGTAGTTAGGTTAATCTGTATGACCTCAGTCTGCTGGTTTCTTATGTTTGGCGCATTTTAAAGTATTTCCTTTAAGTGTGACATAGAGATAGGATGCATGGCTATATTGTAAGTTACTTAGCTTTACCCCTGAGGGAGCAGAAAGCACATTTAAAATGATGCCTTGACAATAAACTGTCTTGGTGACACAAATCAATACTTCTAACCTCTCAAAACCCACCGGGTTTCCCGCAACCTGTTTTAAAGCGTTTACAACTAATACATCAGAATGCATGAAACTGACACTGGTAAAATGTTTACCAATATAGACATGTTAGACATTGTTGGAAATATTATATCTCCAAACATTTCAACCATTAAGTTCGTTTTAGACACAGCGAGCACCAAAGAACATTTAACACAGATATAGCAGCATGTTAAAATGTAAACATGACAAAGCAGCCACAACAAGCAAGCATGCCTTTATTACTGCTGTTAAAAAAAGATTTTAAAAAACAACTCTGAGTCATGTTTGAACTGATGCAGCTTGGTCTGTGTTTTACAGACCTTTTTTCATGTATATATTCAGAAAGTAGAAGGTGTTAGCTTTCAAATAATGTATCACACATGTAATTTGGGCTTACAGTTCATAAGTTATTTGCTTTTCCATTAGGGCATGCAAAATAGGCAAGAATTTCCCAAAATGATGTGGATGTTGAGAGGTTCTATGTAAGTTTTGGTATTCTTGAAAATATGGATACAAAGTCAAATTCAGAAAATAAGCTTTGACATCCTTTGAGTAAAAATCGTCCATGTTGTTGCCATGAAAATAGATTTTATCCCTCAGTGCTGTTAGAGGCCAATCTGTGAGCCGTAGGGGGAAAAAAACATCATAATTGTTCACATGTTCTTATGTGTTTATGACATAACAATACTGCCACTTAACGTGTTGCTATGGAACCAAATTTTAAAGAAGTGTAAAAAATGTCACCACACCCTTTTAGGTAAGAAACTCTTTGAGAAGGAATTTAACTGTCTTTCTGGCTTTTAAATTAACTTAAAAGTTTTTATATATGTCATTTAAACCAAAAACAAAAAGTACACCTCATTAGTTTCATTGTGCAGTATATAAATCCATTTCTATAAGCCTATATGTAAGTAGAGTGGGTATCCATCTATCAGATTTTTTTAAAATAAAATTCAGCAATATTTGTAAGGGTTTTTCTTTTTCTTTTTTTTTCTTTTGACCCTAATCTATTTACATAGAGAGCGCTAAGCAGCAGGGATCAAAGTGACTGTGTAGTCTCTTTATAGCCCAGCCATCGGGCGGTTTTTGGAATGCTGCAGCGGCCCTAAAATAAGTCTGTGCTGTTCTGGACTCCAGTGTCTATTTATCCAGTCACCTAATGAACAGTTTATTCAATTGTAATGCAGCTGGTGTGGCCTAATATAGCAGAGAGCCAAAAAATGAAGAGAATATGAACTGTTGCCTGGTTTAAGGCTTTTAGATTAATAGAGACATTAAAATGAAAGCTCCCCAATAAGATTAAATCGACTTATTACTGCCATATTTTTCAAATTATATGGAGTGCTGGATATTGCTTGCAGACTCAAAGCTGTAAACAGCTTTTTAAAACTATCTACATCCACTGTTTAGACCTGCATGCTTTCATTTGGCTTCTCGTTTCTTTTTAAGGGACACAGCGATGGTTCAGAATAGCTTTTAAAATAATTAGTCTGAAAGCCATCTATTAATACTTTGTTAAATGTAATGGTTAAAGGCTTCAAATTTACATTATCACCATGTCATCAATTTTTTTGAATGTGAATATATTAAGCATTTTATGTGTTGCAATTTTGATATTTTTCAAGAAACTTTCAGAAGCTGAAACATTTAGGAGGAAAACAGATTGAATTTCTTTTTTTCTCTCTTTTTTATTCTTCTGTCAGAATGTGGATTTAAAGAAAGTCATTTCTTTATTCTGCTTTAACCTTTTAAAACTATGTTTAATGTGCTGAGTCATAGTTCTGTAGGGGATAAAAGCAACGTGGGGACCTGAAACGGACTGTAGAAATATAAAATGGCACAGAGGGGATGTGGTGTAAGAGCTTCAAATTTCAGTAGAAGAAAAAGAGAAACAATAAATCGAGAGCTTGAATATACAGATGAGATGGTTAGAAACGGTCTGTGATGCTGCATGGAGTAATTAAGAGGTGCAGCTGCATAACTTTGTTTAAAGACCAAAATAACAACAAAGACCCCTAAAGTAAAATGTCCCTTATTCCAATTTTTTTATGTGCCTTTCACGGTTCATTTAAAAATACTGAAATTTCCACACTGGAAAAACGATCCAGAAATAAAAAAAAATGTCTTAAGTTAAGTGTATCTACCCTTAATTTGAGTAGGGAAAAGAGATAGTTTGCCAATAGAATGATTATTTCTACTCTTAAGATAAGATATTTTGATAATATACACTTGAAATAAGACAATACAATTGTGTTTTTTTTATTTTAAATGTAAATTTTCTTGTTCCATTGGCAAAATATCTCTTTTACCTCCTCTGTCCAAGAAAAAAAAGCACTTTCTTTTAAGAAAACAATGACTTATCTAGATTTCAATTTTTTTTTCCTGATGCATATTATTTTCCTTGTGTTTTTCTTAAAATAATCCCTAAAAAAATAATAATTTAAATATTGTTAGTTTGTATACATTGTCTTTTTTGAAAGCATTCCTAATCTAAACATTATTTTTAGATGAGAAAATCTTCAAGTACCCTTACCACATCTGAGTTGAATTTTTCTATGTGTTTATTAATGCATCATAGGTTGATTTGGCTCCCTACACAGCACTTTGAAACGCCTGGGTAGAGTTTTTGGGTGACACGTCTCCAAGGTGCTGTCCTTCAGATATTTATTCTGACCGTCTCCTCCTTGCTTGACAAATTACCCAATAAACTTTCATCCAGTGAGCTCACATTTCAGCTGGAGACTGTCCTATCACTACTTTTAATGTCGTCTTGAGTGGTCATTGTGTTATGCATGATTTATTCCAACCTGCTGGGTCACTTGGTGCTCAGACTGACTGATTCCAAGCTCTAGCTCCAGGGAGCTGAGGCTAATAAACCTTTAATGATGAGGCCGGATGGTGACACATTACGGATGAGGGCAGGTGTGCTGAGATGGGCTACTGTCCTCATCTCCTCTCCAGCAGGGTGATTAGGTCTAATCACCCACACTGTTAGCCTCAGCTGACTCATTTCCATTTACCCCGCGGTTTAAAGGCTGTGCCTGTCCTGATCAGTCAGGGTAATATCACGTATCTAAACCAAACTGCTGTTGGAATCATTTGCTTTTCAGTTGTTCATAATGTCCTCCTCCCCTTTTTTAGGACTGGTGAGTTTATCTTACGTGTTGCAGACCCCCAGATGTTTTCCCAACCAGCTACAGTTCAACTTCAGGCCGTATCCATGCAGGTAAACAGTAACTCTCTTCATTTATTGAGCCGTCTGATACTAAGGTACTAAAAAGCAACATTCACACTGCAGGCATTAATGCTCAATTCTGTTTTTTTGTGAAATCCATTATTTTGCACTGTCGTTCACATATGCAACTTTTATGTGATCTCCCTTGTGAACTGCGTTTGTACAACTTAATGAGGTCACAAGTAGCGAGCATGCTCTTTGTTTGTGGAAGTAAACATGGATGGTAATACTGGGGGGCATCTTGTGATCTTTAATTTATTTTCTAAGTTGAGGCAGCACAATATCTCCTGAATTTTTATTATATCAGAACCCTTACTTTCTCCATTGGTAACTCTCTGCTTTATTATCTGCCATGGTTATTGTTTTTCATCCATCTTTCGCAAACTAGGACACAGAATTGTTGAATAATAATGACTTTGGGGTGGATGAATGCAAACTAGCCGTACAGACATAGGTCACATCAAATAGGGTCAAATAGCCAAGTGACCTGGGATGCATTTGGAAAAAAAACCTGACCTATGTTGTTCAGATGGTCATGAAAAGGTCAGATACAGGTTGAATATGGGCAAAAAAAAGGTCTGATTTGGGTCGTTTCAGTCTGCAGTGTGATCGCAGCCTAAGTGAGAAATTGCAGCTTCAATGGCTTTTGTCTAGATACACTGCTCAAAAAATAAAGGGAACACATAAAGAACACATTATAACTTTAACCTTCTATGAAATCAAACTGTCCACTTAGGAAGCATGATTGTGTGCATGTTTCTGCACAAACGGTTTGAAACCGACTCCATAAGGATGCAGCATCCTTCAGCATAACCGGTTTGGCAGTGGGTAGGTAATGGTGTGGAGGGGCATTTCTTTAGAGGGCCTCACAACCCTCCATGTGTTCACTAGGGGTAGCATGACTGCCATTAGGTACAGAGATTAGGTCCTCAGACCCCTTGTGAGAGCATATGGTGGTGCAGTTGGCCCTGCAGGACAATGCTAGACCCCGCTGGAGTGTGTCAGTACTTCCTGCGTGAGACATCATCTCTCGATCCATCCACTAATGTCACATCTCACCACAGACTGTCCAGGAGTTGGCAGATGCTTTAGTCCAGGTCTGGGAAGAGACCATCAGGAGCCCATCCACTTCATTAGAAGCATGCCCAGGCATTGTAGGGAGGTCATACAGGCACATGGAGGCCCACACCACAATACTGAGCCTCATTTTGACCTGTTTTAAAGACATTGTGTCATGATCGAGGTGTTTGTATGGAGGACCCAAACGCAGAGACCGGTAGGCAGAGGTGAAATAAGTTCTGTTTATTCAGGTTAACAGATCCAGGGGCAGGAATCAGAGTCCAACAGAAAATTACAGACGTACCAGAACCAGGAGACATCAGAGGTAAACCAAAACTAGAAGCCAGGGAGAGACGAGGAACACAGACAGAAGTTAGACGAGGATCCAGCAAACAGGAACTGAAGAGGGAGGGCTTTTAAAGGGGACAGAGACAAAGAGAGAGCTGACGAGGAAATTGACAACTGGTGCAAGGCAGGACAGAGAAACAGAGCAAATGAGGACACAAGAGGGCAGAAGAGGACAACAAATGGATAACCAAGAAAAACAGGAACAAACAGACCAAGACCCTGACACATTGCATCAAAGTTGGATCAGCCTGTAATTAGTTTTTCCACTTTATTTGGTGTGTGACTCCAAATCCAGGCCTGGATTGGTTAATAGATTTGATTATTTTTGTGTGTTTCTGTTGTCAACACATTTTACTTTATACAGAACAAAGTATTCAGTGAGAATATTTCATTCATATATGGATTGATTTTGTTGATCCAATTCAGTGTCCTTCTATATTTGGGGACATTTTTTATTTTTCTTAAAAATACTAAGAAGCAAAAATAATATTTTCTTGCTATAAAAGGTCACAGTTAATAGTTAGACACACAAAAAGAACACAAAAGCACTGGTCCTGAATTATTCTAAGATTTTTTTATTTTTTATTTTTTTTTCAAGACCGCATTGCCTTGAGTCCTTCCTCACTCTTTAGAGCTGGAACTCAGCAACCAGTGAGCTATTTCTCGAACCTTATGTTTGAGTTAGAAAGATGTAAAGCAAATAAAAAACAAGTTAACAACAATTTTTTTATTTCTTACTGTGTATCTTTATTTGATTTGCTAAATGGCAGATATTCAAATTCTTTTAAGAAAGAACTAAAATATGAAAACTGTTCTGACTTTTAGGTTTGAGTGTTGTTATCCATTAAGGTTTTTGTTTTTTTCTTCAGTTTAACCAGTCTCATTTCTTTATTTTGCCATCTTCTTTTCTTAATTGTCAATTTAAAAACTTGAATAACAATTTAAACATGTCTGCAGATAATTTCAAAGTTTGCAAGTTTGCTCTTCAGGAAAAGCGAACATTTTTTGAGCGTTTCAGGTTATTCTCCAATTTTATAAGACAGCAGAAAGACAGAAAACCAGTCTGAACTGTGTATAGATACTGTTGAAGCCTTGAAATTTGCTCTAAAGTGAAGCTTATATTTTCTTGAAAGTAACTGCAGTGTCTGCTTTTATTTCAAAGCTGATTGCTACTGAAGTGGCCTCACATCAGAATCTTGTTCGATTTTAAGAGACGGTTTCTGAGAAGTGAGCTCTGCTGTGAGAGCTCTCTATGCTCTAGTGTATTTGTTTTGATAGAAGTCACTGGCACCTTTCTGCGAGAAGAGAAGGGAGTTTTAACCCCATCACAAACCCGACAATTTGTTTTAACTGAAGCGGCCTTTCTGCAGCAACGCACGTGAGCTGTGGCATTTTGAGCTGCACACCTCTCCTGTGCAGGATAAAAGGTTGGCTCTCCCACCTGCCTCTGCCTCTGATTGTTTTCCTTTGCCTCAAGGGGGGATATTTCAGCAGTTTCTTTAGATTGCAGGCGTGTCTTAGCATGATTCAAAGCCTTCCATGCTACCACTCCTAGGTACCAGCAGCATGTTTCATTGTGTGCAGCAGAGGAGGGAGAACAGAGATCTAGGTCGGCGCCAGTGTCGGTTATCTGTCTGATGAACCCACCCAGAAATAGGCACAATTGTTGCTCTGAATAGTTTCTGGGAGGTCTTTAAGTGTCATATAATATCAATTTTAGGGCTAACATATTCTCTATACTTTGTCTTTACATAAAGTTATTGATGTCTTAAATTTGAACACACTAATTCACTGCTTCTTCAATCAACATTTTATTTCCTTGCTCTATGCTTTGTTGTTCTGAATAAGAAATTTAGGTGTTATTGATTAATCCCTGCAGGATAAAAAACAAACATTACTTCAATTCTGCACTCATTGGGCCTGAGACAGGAAGAGGAACGGTTTTATTATTTATGCTGCAAAACACCTTAAATAACCCACTATTCACCCATTAGGCCTATGGTTTTAAGTTGCACTTAAAGGTTTATTGAAAGTTTTAGATAATTACTGACTGAACTAGAGTTAAAGGCAAACATGCAGGTAGAAAGTATGAGAGGGCGAATGTGGGCTGAAAAGTTTGGTGGCAGACAAATACAGTCCAGGGCGTGACCAGAGTCAGAAGATGAGTGTGCATACAATCAAGTGATGTTTTGAGATTAGCCAGGCCTTAGATGCGTTTGTCGAGTAGTTGAGGGGGCATTTCCACAAAGAGGGTATCGAAGCTTGCTTCATGTAGGGGAGGAACCAAAATCAATGATGTCCTAAGCCTCGCGACCACAAAATCATGTGACCGCTTCGGGAAGTGGTTCAGATCGCCCTCGAACTTCAACAGGCATTTAAACAGCCTCAGTATTCAGTCAAGATGTTGGAGTTTGTAGGAGAGTTACAGTCAGTTGACTGTTTGGATAGATTTTGGATATACTCTAAGAATAGGTCTTTGGTTCCGGCTGTAATATTAATATTAATTTTTATTATATTTTTAAGAGATAGAGGTGATAGTGGTGTTACAAAGGGAGTTTAACCTTCACACAGAGGGTTATTGCTTCGAGTTCTGGCCTCAGCTTTTGAAAATTACTAAACTACTTAACCAGTATTTTGGTCAAAGTGACCAATTTGTATTGGTTTCTCTTTTAACAATATAGATTAGGTAAAAACACTACCAAATTAGACTGGTTGTTTTAACCAAAAGATTGGTTGAACACAAATTCCAACTAGATTAAAACCAAAAACTGTGGAAAAACTGATATTTTGAATAAAAATGACCAATACATTTCATTTTGCTCATCATTGACCAAGTTGCACAAGCACTTTTAATGTCTTCTTGAGCTTATGTCAATAAAATGACAGAAAACAAATAGTGTACCTTAAAAGATTATTTTTTTAGACAATTTAAACACACAAAACTTTACAAAATATTTTATTATAAACATCAGTCATTAACAATTTCAAAGGGAATTAAAAGAAATAAAAATAAATTAAAAAAACAAGCAAAACCATTGCAGACATCACAGATTATATTGATAACTATAGTTATGAACAACACTAGTAGGTGGTGTCATGTTCACATGATGTTTCATAAACTGTGTGGTTCATTGAATCAATTTGGCCTGAATGTTCAATGCCTCATGCGGCTTCATCTCACCATCACTAACATAACAACTAGAATGGATCTCGTGCGGGCAAGGAGACATTCTGGCAGAGACTGACAGAGAGATAGTAATAGTCATGATCACAGCTGGGAGGTTTAGGACAGAGGCAGGTGTATCTGCCACCCTATTTAACAGAGAGAAGCCAATCAGAGAGTGATAAGCTTACAGCCAGCCCAAAAAAAGCATTTTATATATTAATCAATTCCAACGATTTTACGTCTGTGAGCACATAAAAATCATGGAAGAATGCTTTGATGCAATCAATGTGGTTCGTTTAACAGTTTCTTTACTTTTTTTAAAACTTCGCCTCATCAAATCTGCAATACATTTTCTTTTTTGTGCCTTTATAGAAATAGTAATGATGTCTGATTCAGTTAAAAAGAAATCAGCAGGACAGACTTTGAAGAAAACAGAAAATTGTTTTTGGTCATAAAAAGCCTGAGCAGTGGGTTACTACAAATGATACAGGGAATCAATAGTTACTGTTCAAAAGAATTTTTTAACAGGATTTCATCCAGACCCTGCAGACTTATGATAGAGTTCTGGTCATAAAACAATCTTAAAACTGCATGTTTTAAGCAACTCAGATCAATGTATTGCTGTTATGTTATCGTCAGGGCATCTTCTTCATCATGGAGGAGTTTATATTTCTCCAGGTTTGCTTGAAAAACGGTAAATCATCATCAAAGTGTTATGACGCATGCTTTGTACTCTAGGAAAGCTCTAAGCTTTGGTAATCTAGTCGTAAAGATACTCCAGTCACAAAACAGATCTGCAAAAAAATATTTGACCTGCTTAAGATATGAGATAAATATTCTTATTATTTTTACAATTTCTTGAGGCTTAAACCTGAATTCTTGTGCTTTAAATGGTACAAAATTTACGTTAGAACTTGCAGAAAACGCGGTAAATAGATCTTGGTTTTAGTCGTCCTCGATCAAAGATGTTCAGCACACCAGCTTTTTTTAATGCATCTTTTTTGACTCCTTTAATAAGAAAAGGCTGGGGCAGGTCCGCCAGGCAAGGAATGCAGCATGTTGGACACATGCTCTTCATCCTGCTGCGCAGCCCGGAGCTCCCGACCTGACAGCTGGTGGTGCTTTCTCAGGAAAACAGCTCACATCTCCCCCTGCAGCTTTGCACATTCACTCAGCCCTGCAAGCAAATCTCAATGTGGAATCTGAAAGTTATTTTTCTGCTCTCAGCTTTGCATTGTTAAACTTTTAAAAAGAACATTTCAAACAAATGCACTTTTAAACCATACTCATTTTTGTCTCAAGAATGTAGGAGAGATATGACACTTGTGACACTTTTTGTTTGTCCATTTCCCCTTTAAAACTGTTTTATGTATCATTACAATATATTCCATAATGTTGAGGGTCAAAACCAAAACAAGTAGTCTGGGGAGGCTAAAATCTACAAATCAGTTGGATGTTATTTTTGCTACTGGTAGTTAAAATGAAGATATGGCTTTGAAATGCATAAAATTAATCTTGTTATAAAGGTTCTCTCGTAGAGAAAAGTACAGCTCTGATTTTCTTCAGTAAAGCCACCTGCTGCACCTCAGATCTTCATGTTCTAATTAGAAGTATGAAGGTAAAGAGGCAGTGAAAGACCAAAACACGGCTCCGTAGAAAGTTTCTCACAACAGGAGGTCTCCTCGTCTCGCTGACTTTGTTAGCCGTATGAGGCTTTTCACCGACGGTAACGAGGTGGACACTGCTGAGTGCAGCTTAATGAAGCGCCCAGGTTAACCTCCCTCTTGCCTTCAAAATTGCTGTTTCACTCTGCAGCAGGTGGCTTTGCCCTGAAAACAATATAATATCTGACTATTTTTTATATTTTCTCAGCACCCTGTTAAGCCCTTGAGATGTGAAGCAGTTTCACATCTTAAAGGAGAGAATTTTGAAGTTCTATGTCATTTGTATTGTAATAAAAATCTTACTTCTGTACTTAGAACTCATTCATTTGTATTTCCAGCCCCCAAAAGTGGTGACCCTGGCTTCGTTAACCTTAGACGGCCGCGGCAGCCCGGCCACCATCACCAAGTCTGTGCTGCAGGTCGATGACCCTGACAATCCTGCAGATGTTCTAGTCATAGTCCTCGAACCACCCCGTCATGGCCGTTTGACCCGTCTCCATGGCGACCGCGCTCTGGGCAGATTCAAGCTGGAGGAACTGGCGAGGGAGCAGATTCAGTACGTCCACGATGGTTCAGCAGTGCTGGAGGACAGCGCCGTGCTGCAGGTGAACGACGGCCACAGCTACAGGAACATTCTGCTCCAGGTCCGGATAATTCAGAGGGTAAGAAGGACAACTCAGTGGTTCAAAATCCAAACAGGAAGTTAACAGCTTTGCTTTTCTCCCTAAGGTTTAAGGACATTCTTTTCATCTATACTTTTTTAGTTTTACCTTATTATTTTTTTAGTTAGACCTTTATACGTTTGAGAAATAAAAAAATATGTATTTTTTGATGACAGAAATTAAGGTTAATGTATTAACAAAAAACGGCCACTTTTCCTAATATATTAAGAAAAATAACAAAAGTGCTTCTATAAGAAACTCATGAAAAACACACACAGCGAAAGAAACAACTTGTTTTATTACAACATAACCTAAGAGCATTAATGCTGATACAGGAACTTAATTTTTTTACTTTTTAGAATTAGCTTAATAACTTTTTTACTCTATTTTTTAACTTTTCAATTAGGTTTTTAGCTTTTTATTCTTAACTTGTTACGTTCTTTTCCAACTTAATTTTCAGTTGGTAATATATTGTTCAAGGACTCATTTAATTGGTCAAATGCCAAAATAACTTGTACAGACCTGTAGCATGATATTTGCTTAATGCCTGGATACAATACTTGTATCAAACCTGGATACAAGTCTTGTGCTTCTAGACCTCAGTGAGGGATGGGGGGGACTCCATTTATAAGGGGTATGCAAACACAAAAAAATGGTAACTTTCCCTATAAAGGGTTAAACTATTTTGTTTTTTTTTGTTTTTGCAAAAGCAAAATATTAACAAAAATCTGACACAAATCAATCAATATCGATAAAAATAGAAGTCAAATATTTACTGCTATTCAATTATTATTAAAGATATTTTGATCACAAGATATTTCCCTTCAAGAATAAATCCTTAGAAAATACTATATATCTTTGAAATAAATGGTGGGTATGTTTTCACTCATTTTAAACTCGTAAAAAGAATGAAAAAAAAAAAAAAACTAATTTGCACCAAACGACCCTCCACCTGTGGATTTAAGCTTTCCATTATGTTTTGAACATCCAAGGGTGGCAGAAAATCTGGAAAACCTAATTTTAAATGTAAGCTTAGAGCCTTACTACTCTTTCCATCTTACTGGGAGTAGGTCTTGCTTTCCTCTGCTGATTTACTGGTTGTTTTATATTTTCACCACAAATATCCATGCTGTACTTCAGTGTCTTTGTAGCACTTTTTTAAATTTCCTTATCCAGTTCTGGTTGTTTATAGCTGTTGTCTGCTTTGGAGAAAGAAAAAGAGATTATCAGCTGTTTGTTTGGGTTTTCTGCACAAATCCTGGAGCAGCACTGTCCTATCCTTCTCCGATCATTTTTTTCATGCCTTGATTCCATTCGATACAAATACAAGTTTAGCCAGATAAAATAATGCATGCACAGCTCAAACCAATATTTACAAAGACTGTATAAAGAGGAGAATAACCCTATTTTTTTGCTTTTTACAGATTGACCAAAAAAAATCTATCCAAAGTATTCTGGCTTTGGTTCAGTTGAAATAAACAGATTATTGTTTTGTTTACCAAATACCTGAATAATGCAACAGAAAATATAAAATATCTATACTTTTTTGATTGCCCATTCGCTACAATGGCATGTTCACCTTTTAATCAACATCATGATGTCCAAGTTTAAACTAGTGGAATTTCCAGTAATCGAAATTGAGAAGAGACACCGTTTCAGATCTAAAATACTACATCGCAACCTGTCCTTTGATTGGTGCCCTTTGTCTCTGTCCAATCACATGCAGAGGGCAGATAGGTTTTTACTCAAACCTTTCTGGGTGGCTATCAGATTAAGATAAATTCTTTATAAAAAATTATTGATTAAGCTTTTTTTGCAGATAGTTGTGACCCCAAACAATGCCTAGAATAAACATAATAAATCACTCACATTTTACCATTATTTTATATGAAACATTATAGATTGGACTTTTAAAGGATCAGATTTTATACTTGTCAATAATAATAATTTTGTTCATTTTTAATGTGATCTCTTTTAGTAAAGCTTTCCATTGCATGATATTCTGACATAAATCACATTCCTCCAGACACCTCAAATTGCATCAGTCTCAGCAGTCATCACTCTGCTTCCAGCTGACATGTCCTCACAAGATGCCCTGCTGACTTTATCCCTGAAAATAGTTTCCTGGAGGCGCTGGCAGATCCCTGTAGCCTTGCTGCTAAAATAGAAAAAAACAGGCAGAGTCATTACAATGGCAGTTGTCATCGCTTCTAGTGAGTGTTTCATCACAAGGACACAATTATCTTGCAGCAGGCATCAACTCCTGCGACCAAACAGGAGGAGTTGCTGCAGGTTGATGTTTGGAAAGATAAATATTCTTGCAACTTCCTCGTTACCAAGCGAACTGGAGGCAGAAAACAAAGCGGGACTGACTAATAAGTCTTCAGTTTCCACTACAGCGACATCCCACTTCACAGTTTTTTTTTTTTGTTTTTTTTTTTCTTGGTTACAGAGAAACTTTTCCTCTTGTTTTCTGCTCACGCAGTCAGAACAGTTTGAATTTGGAGGGCAGCTCTGTTTGTCTGGCTGTGTGCAGATGGAGCCCTTCAGGCTAAACTCCTCTGCCTCTTCTACCCCTTCTGTAAATCAATAACATCCCACTCGCACACTTACTCACACATGGCAGTATTAATTTACTGTAAAATCTCCTGATTCTGCAGTCTGTCATGCCTTTAAGCCAAGCAGGAAAGACAGGATGATGGAAAGCTAAATGAATGTCCTCGATTTGTGTCCACAGCTTTTGGATAAGATCCCAGTGTGGTCACTGTCCCTGCTCTCTCCTTCTTGACTTCTGTGATCCACACAATATAAGGGCATAAACTGTAGAACAGAAAGCAAATACAGAAAGTCACTAGAGCTTTGAAGTTATCATCATTGTATTTACTGGTATTTATTATTGGTTCATTTAAAACTAATAAGGATCTCAGTTATTGTTTTGCATCTGTATTCAAATATTCTCTCTGAGAAGTAAATTTTCTTATAGTCCAAAAACAGCTTCCTTAGGTTAATTGTTCATTCTTAATTCCCTCCTAGGTATACATGTGCAGTGAGGAAAATAAGTATTTGAACAGCCTTCTATTTTGCAAGTTCTCCCACTTAGAAATCATGGAGGGGTCTGAAATTGTCATAGTAGGTGCATGTCCACTGTGAGGGACATAATCGAAAGAAAAAATCCAGAAATCACAATATATGATTTTATTCAACTATTTATTTGTATTATAAAGCTGCAAATAAGTATTGGATGTATTTAATTCTGACCTTCAAAGACCTGTTAGTCTGCCTTCAAAATGTCCACCTCCACTCCATTTATTATCCTAAATAAGATGCACCTGTTTGAGGTTGTTATCTGTATAAACACCTGTCCACCCCATATAATCAGTATGAATCCAACTACTAACATGGCGTGAACTTGGAAAGCATGGGAGCCTTGCAAAATTGCAGGGTGTTCAAATACTTCTTTTACTCACTGTGTGCATGCATGGTTTCTTGCTCTGTACTCGGTGAATTATCGCTGGCCTGTCCAGGGGGTAGCACACACATCGCCTGATGTGTGCTGGAGATAGACATCAGCCAAAATAAGCAGTTAAGCAATGGATGGATGAATTGATGAATGAACTGTAGTAACTATTGGTTTGTTAAACTGTCAAGAAAAACAAACAATTTGAGCAGAGAGTACCCTGTGAATTGGACCCTAACGGTTGTTTTTGATAAATATGGCAGTGGTCCACAACAAATCTCTCTGATTATTACCCATCTGCGGTGCAAAAGAAAAAGTATATCTTTGAAAAAATTTCCAGATTGTCATTTTACCTGAGCAGCATAAAATATGGATCTTGCAGACTAGTGAACATGAAGTGGGTTTAAAAACGCTTCCAATCAGCCTTGGCAGAAGGCCGATCACACAAAGCCTGGTTCTACAAGAGTTTTCTTCCTGTTAAAAGGAAGTTTTTCTTCCCAACTGTCTCTACATGCAAGCTCGATGTGAGGGATTGATGTAGAGTCAATGACACAATGTAAGCAAATTTCTACTGTCTCTTCATGTTGATCCAGGAGGAGTAGAACTTGAAAATTCTCAGAGCAATCCTAGCAGAATTGTGCCAAAAGAAAGCAAGCAACCAAACCTGTTCAGTAGGCTATACTGTTTTATCCCACTTTAGCTCAATAATAGACTTAAAAAGGGATAAATGTAATGGCTTCTGGCCACACATGGTGGAACCACAGCTTGTTTATTAAACTTTTGAGATATTTAGCCAGATCTCATGGGAGTCTTTGATATTCAGAATCTAATTAAAGTCTGTCTGTGTGGATCTGCTAAAATACCAAACTGCCTTCTAAGGATGTGCACTGAGAGCATCCAGATGTAACGGATGTTTTAGAGTCTACGTGAACAGAAAAGAGAAAAAGCTTTTAGGTTCCTAAATGTTTAGATAAAAGCTCATGTTCTGCTCTTAAACCTCAAGGCTTTCATTAACCTGGATGAAAATTAGCAAACTTGAGTCAATAAGTCTTTAGTTTTCAGAGTGGGGCACTTTCTGACTCACTATCCATAAAGCATCGTCAGCTGTCGGCTCCAGGTTGTGCCGGGTACAAAAGGCTCCTAGAAAATCAGATTACGGTGGTGTAAAGCAGGAGGCTAATCAGGCCATAATGATCCCCTGATGGATGGACTTCCTGCGTATGGAGCCTGAGCCCCGACCTGAGAGGGAGCTCAGCAGAATAGAAAGCAGGACCTCTGGCTTTCAATTTCTGTCACGGGGAAAAGTCTTTGTACCTCAAAAAGATCCTGGGGCTCAACAGTTTCCAACTAATAATATAAAGAATATAAAATCCTTTTCTTTTCTGATCAAACATCCAAGTTTGGATGGGGGGTACTTAAGCTCTGTTGTCAAGGAGATAATGAAGACCCAGTGGGTGAAGCTCAACCTCCTGCTGACCACTTACCTTTATTCATTCTAAAACAATTTATCTACTCTTTGGCTTTATTTATTTTTTTGACAAGT